CCTGCCAAAAAAGAAAAAAAAAGTGCATTTAATGTACATGCAATTTAAAGATAGTCCTACAGGTACTTAGGCACTAATCTGCTTCCCAGGGGATTTGGGGGAGGCAAARAAATCTAAAAGGTTCTTGCTCACAAGAATTTGGGGTCGGGCTGGGGATGTGGCTCAAGCGGTAGCGCGCTTGCCTGGCATGCGTGCGGCCCAGGTTCGATCCTCAGCACCACATACCAACAAAAAAGATGTTGTGTCTGCCGAGAACTAAAAAATAAATATTAAAAAAAAAATTCTCTCTCTCTCTCTCTCTCTCTCTCTCTCCTCTCTCGCTCTCTCTTTAAAAAAAATAATAATAATTTGGGGTCATTAACAGACTGGAAACAATGCCCTACATTATCAAATACGTGAGTACAAGAAGCTATGTGCCTATGGAAGTTTCAAAAGGAGAAATTAAGGAGGTCTGCATTAGGTGTAATAACATGGGCTGACATTTGAGCACTTTCCATGATTAACTTCACATTCCAATGAACAAGACGTTTGATAGAAAAATGGAGGGAAAGCTCAGAGAGGTGAGGCATCCTGCCTAAAGTCACACAGCTGGCTAGTAAAGCTAAGATTCAAACTCCAGAACCTGTTTTCTTATCCCTGTCTTGACTCATTTGACATTTGCCCAAGTTAAGTGACATGTCCAGGGTCATACAGCAGGCCAGCAATTCCATTCCAAGTCCATTTGACATTTAATCAACAATCATGGCCTTTCCACTTTAAGATTTCTCAACCTTGGTATGTTTAGGGCCAGAAAATTCACTTTTGAAGGGGAAGTAGTCTCCTACACAATGTATGTTTAGCAGCATCCCAGTTCTATACCTACTAGATGTCAGTATCAACTAACCACACCCCCAGGTTGTGCAACCAATTAACAAATGTCAGATATTAACAGATGTCCCCTGGCTAAGAGGCAAATTCATACCCAGTGAGAACTAGTAGTCTATCAATCTACTGATTCTGTTGGCTTCTTTACCTTAAGTTACTCAAGTTTGCCTACAGAGCCCAGGAATCTCAAGGCCAAAGAGAAGGTATGGGACTGAGGTTAGAGTGGCAGCTGATGTGTCACCAAGGGAGCAATGGATGAACTGGTAATGCTGTTACACAAATGGAACACCATAACCCTTTGGGATATTACATTGGCATCATTGTGAGGTCACTTGTTCTGGAGGTAATCAAGGAACAGCCCCCAGGGAAGGCAACTGCCTTTTTGTTACTGTAGAGTGCCAGGAACCTATTTTTACCAAGAGTCCAGTAAAAATCTCCCTTTGGGATTCCAAACAGTCCTGGAATTCCTAGATCTAAAACCCAAATTGGGCCTTGTGCATTGTCCCATGTCTGTAATCCCAGCAACTTGGGAGACTAAGGAAGGAGGATCACAAGTTCAGGTCTGCCTCAGCCTAAGCGACTTAGTGAGACCCTGTCTCAAAAATAAAAAATAGGGCTGGGGATGTGGCTCAGTGGTTAAGTGCCCCTGGGTTCAATCCCCCATACCAAAAAATAAAATAAATGAAAAATAAGAAGGTCTGGGGATGTAGCCCAGTAGTAAAGTGAAAGTGTCCGTGGGTTCAATTCACAGTACAAAAAAAAAAAAAAAAATGGAAGTGTGGTTGGTAGGATCAAGGAGTCCTTGGGGGTCAGAGAGGATACTCCCATATCCATAACATAGGTTCTTTATGTAGCTTCTGTGATCTACAGGTTGGTACATGGATGGGACCATTTTCCTTAGTTCAAAATATTTGTAAGTGAATACAGAAATGTATTGTTCTTGGGAGAGGGACTTATTTTTATTCTTAG